GATCTCCAGCCCTGTCTGTTTTGGGCCATCTTGGTCAACGTCCCCAATGAATGGTTCCAGGACTTCATTTCAAATTCTACTGTGCGTCTCCAAGTCACCTTGGGTCTGCCCCTCTTGTGATGTCTTTCGGGTGTCCAGTGGAGTGCAATCTTTAACATAGAGTCTGGTTCTCTTCTCAGTTCTTTTTTAAAGAGAAGTTCAAATGTGTTTCATATCAAAATGCAGGGAAATGGGGTTTTGTTTCTAAAAATCGACTCATAGTACGGAAAAAAACAACAACCAAGCCTATCGGTGTTTGTGTTGCAATGATTAGGCCGTGACTTGCAGAATACATGAGTTTGATTCCTTAGCTGGGAAATTGTTTTCTTTTTTCTTTTGTTTTAATTGAGTATTTCCGCCTGTCTGGTTAGATATTATAATATTATATCACTCATTTTTTCTCACTCAGGCCATATTGGTTCTGACTGGCAGGACCTACGCAGCCTGACTTTTTATTGTTCTAAAATACTTTAACTTTTTAATGTAAAATCCATAATTACATTAACAATACTTAAGAAAAAATAATTATCTTACCATCCTTTCTGCCAACGAGACCAATTAGTTAGGAAGATAGCATTTCCCTGCTGGAGGCTGGTTGGCGTTTTGAATTAGCCAATTCATTCTAGCTTTTATCTACAGTTGTTGTTTTTTTACAACTTCTAACTTTACAAAATAATGATTACCATTTTTGTTCAAAGCGAGCGCTGTAAAACTCTTACTAAAAGAAGACTACAGTCACCATTGAACCGGCCTACAACAGAGAAGCTCTAGATTTACTTTGTTATATTATAGGTTTAGTCGTATCCACATTCTCATAAGTCACCCGCCTCCTAAATTGTCTAAAGATAGTCGATAGAGACGTAAAACTCGTACAATTACAACTGATTGTCCTCAAGTAAGACTTTATGAGGCAATTAACAAGCGTAGGTATTGACCTTTGGCTTTACGTCATTCACGACGACCCAAGATGCACTACATGACTCCCTTCGTCTCCTCACTTCCTTAGCAACCAGGTATAAACACTACTGTACTGGCATTAGATTTTATCGGGAAAATGTCGCCCGATCTAGTTCTCAATCCAGCTTCTTGCAATTAACTTGTTTTGATCACTAAAACGCCCGCGGCAGTGATGTTATTTTAGAAGTGAACTGAGTCTACTTTCCGTTCTTTTGGGTTTTTTCCTCTGATTATTTAGAGAGAACCAGCTCACACAAATACGCACACCGTGCACCCCGGTCTTGCGCGAGCGCACTTACTCACACGCACACACACACACACACACACACATATAATACACATACTTACACACGCAG